ACTGATACATGAATCAGCACCAAGGACAGGTACAATGTATGGAACTGATACATGAATCAGCACCAAGGACAGGTACAATGTATGGCACTGATACATGAATCAGCACCAAGGACAGGTACAATCTATGGAACTGATACATGAATCAGCACCAAGGACAGGTACAATCTACGGAAATGATACATGAATCAGCACCAAGGACAGGTACAATCTATGGAACTGATACATGAATCAGCACCAAGGACACGTACAATATATGGAACTAATACATTAATCAGCACCAAGGACAGGTACAATGTATGGAACTGATACATGAATTGACTTACATGTACCAAACTAATGAAATTATTTCCAGATACAATGTATATTGATAAAAAATTGTTTTCCTTACCAAGAAGATGATAGGAGGATCCCCCACAATGGCTGATGCTGTGCTCAGCTTCCTCTTGTTCCCGCCACTGGAAGGACAAGTATGTTAGAATTTATATTAAGTTACATGTAACTTGTGCGGTCCAGGATTTTATTTTTGGTGTGTTTGTTTGCTTATGTGTGCATGCTTGATTGAATACAATTGAACCTCAGAAAATTGTGTAACTGTAGACAGACAAGAAGTTCAAATTGGAGGCTAAAATGGCCATTATTTAAAAATGGATGAAGAGCATAAAGTTAAATTAAGTTACATAAAGTTAAAGATCATGACTGATGTGAGTGTCTAACTTCATGAAATTCGAAGATGGGCACAATGCCACTTAAGCTCCCATCCAAAAGGCAGGCTTCATGTACACTCTATACTGTAATGGTCAACAAATGTTTAAAAAAATGGTCTTCATAAGGCAAAGACTGTACATAGGGTAGTTCCATATATTCACCTGTATGTTCCACAGAGCTTGTCGGCGTACTCTCTGAGGTTGAGGTGTTCGATGGTGGCGTCCACCACGCCTTTGGTCCGGTGGGACGGGATTCCACGCAGGTTAGCGTACATGGTCAGCAGCTCACGTGCTGTGATAAGATATGCCAAAAAACTGTTACTCAAGGAACTGGACATGATTTTGGAAATGGTCAGATGTTTCAAGTAGCATCTACTAACTTTCGTCAGTGACACTAGAGACTTGTGCAGAAAGGCAGAGCACAAAATTTTTTGGACGTCCAAAAGGAAAAAAAAAGTCCTCATTTGTAAATTCATCATTTTATCTGTTTCCATATACATTTGTACAAAGATGAACAAATAAGGCAGGCACAAACATAATATCTTTGCATCCCTTTCAAAGAGCTACAAGCCCAAATTGACCATTTCAGGCTTCAAAATTCCAGGCTTGAACCTCTTATGGTCCAGAACCAGAATTGATACCCCAGTATAAAAACAGCCTGCATACATCTATTTTTCTAATTCAATAATAAACTGACCACTTAAATCAATGTCGACTTCAACTTGAACATACCAGTGAGTCTCTCCAGCAGGGCGTCGAACTGGGGGCAGTACCCCATTCTCTGACGTACCTCCCGCTGGTGGGTCTGGATGTTCAGGCCATCCAGGAATGCGGTACCAGTGGTGGCAGAGAGGTCACCTGGGTGGTAAAACAGGTAAAATAGGGATGTGTCAATGCCAAAATATGGAAAATGATATAGGTGTAGAGCAGTGCTAAGAATTTTTCCTTTCTAAAATTATTTTCTAATGTGTAATTTTAAACATAGTGTGTAAAACTACATGTATATGAAAAACTTAAAGTTCAGTGCCTAAAAGTGACGTCTTGGCATCATGATACACTGAGTAAGTCAGCAGAAAAAAGAATTGAGGAAAATGAAATTCCCTTTCTTTCTTTGTTGTAATATCATTGTAGTTCTCTTGATAAAGTTGAAGCACCTGTAAATGTATTGTGCATTATAGCACTTTGGCATATTTGCATATAATATAAGGCTAACATCCCGTCTGTAGTTTCCAAATGTTATGTCGGAAAAGATGTCCTCTGCAACAGGCAAAATTCTTTTATATATAATTGCAACAGTGACCAAAAATCCAATGAAAACCTTGGAAAAATCAGGGTTTTGTGCAGGCGCAGTACGCTCTGCAGACATGGTATGAAAAGCTAACAGTACAATGAGTCTCCCCCCACCTGTGAGCATGTTGAATGTGGTGGTTTTCCCAGCCCCATTCACACCGAGCAGTCCGAAGCACTCCCCGGCGGGGATGGACAGACACAGGTCCTTCACGGCCGGGCGTGTCGCCTTCTTACACTTCCTCATGCCGTACATCTTCCCCAGGTTACGCAGCACAACCGCTGACTTCCCCGTCTTTGGGTCCATGTTCAGCACCTGCAATTTGTATTGGGTCTTAGATTCTACTTATAACATTTGAATTTTGTATTACAACTCTCTGCTTTATGTGGGCAGCCATCACCAATCTGCCTGCACTGATCTACTTTGCAAGTAATGACAATATCATTGCCTGAGTACAAAGGGGTGTGGAAGTCATAAAATCTTTAGAAATTACATTAGAAGCAGAAGATTTCATTCTTCTGCATGTGCACTCAGACCTGTGGATTTCTTGCTTGAATAATACATTAGACAGTGTAATCACTTGCTGATTTTGCCCTTTGGTGTACCATTGTTTCTAACATGTCTCAACTTCACAGGCAATGGTGGCACAGCAGCAGCTCACCGAGTTATATTACACTGAACAACCTAGCTGTTACACCTAACTTACTGTCCTAATCTTTGCACATCTTATTGTAAGTGTTGCTTAAAGTATCTAGACTAGTGATGATACCCTGGCCTTTTACTTGGTGGCAGTTCCACTATCCTAAGGATCATGTTTTAAGAAAACCTCAATCTATTATATAGTAACAAGCTGTTATGCCAAAAAGCAGTTACTCAAGCAACTGGATATGATTTTGAAAACGTCAGACGTTTCAGCTAGTATCCACTAGCTTTCGTCAGTGACTGAGAGACCAGAGGGGAAATGCAGGTTTATAAGCACAAACTATTGATTGATATGCAAATAAAGTGAAGACAAATTTTTGGAAGTCGAAAAAGGAACAAAAGTCAGACAAGTCAAGACAAGATAATGCAAATTAGTCAGAAAGCTCCTGTTATGGCATTGAGATAACAGTAATCCTCCACTCACTGTTTTGCGCTCCTCTGCCACGTCCTCGTCCTCCACCTTTCCCTCGCTCCCTCCGTCCCGCGCCTCCTCCCTGAAGCACAGGAACGTGAAGAACTTGAACTCCACCAGCAGGGTCACCAGGAAGTACACCAGCCCCTCCCCGGCCAGGAAGGCGACCGGCTGCCCCACGCCGGGCGTCGCCCACTCGAAGCTGTTGTCGTAGTAGGTGATGTTGGATGCCTCGCAGGCCTGCTTGGCAAAGTCGCTGGCGGTGCACTGGGCACGAAGCTGGCTGTTGGTGGACAGGTCTATGAAACCCTTGCCTGGGGGGAAATATAAGAATGATAAATAAATTTAATGCAAATTTATTCTTAAGATAGGTTTTAAGGGGTTTTCTTTTACACAACCACTATTGTCTGTAACCTTGCTAAATACCTTTCAGTGTCACCAGTTCCTCAGAACTTCTGACTGGAGTTCTGCTTCTTGCCGCTTTACATGTATGTAGTGCTTTTGCTGCGAGAACACAATCCCAAACTTGTGTTCTCACCGCAAAAGCACCACCTGCATGTACATGATTGTGTACATCGGCCACAGCCCTTCCATTGGTTGTGTAAAAGAAAATCCCTACATCCTATAGCTATACTCTACCAACCTGATAAAACAATTTTTGGAAATTTATTCTTGCCATGTAATTGTAACTGTACACTTACCCAGTGCGTGTGTCAGATAACTACTGAGTGCATGTGTGGGTTTACACTTACCCAGAGCGTGTGTGGGCAGCAGCAAGTTAGAAGGCGATGTCCTCGTGATGCTGCCCAGGTCAGTTAACTAGTACACACTTGCCCAGGACATGTGGGTTTTCTACACACATGGGTGGGTCAACTAGTTACTTACCCAGTGCGTGTGTGGGCAGCAGCAAGAAGACAAAGTTGAGTATCTCTGCGATGTCCTCATCGCCGGTGATGCTGCCCAGGTACATGTACAGAGCCCTGCTACACACTTACCCTGAGGGCAGGTGTGAGTTAACTACTGAGTGCATGTGTGGTTTTACACTTACCCAGTGCGTGGGTGAGTTTACTGTACACTTACCCAGTGCGTGGGTGAGTTTACTGTACACTTACCCAGTGCGTGGGTGAGTTTACTGTACACTTACCCAGTGCGTGGGTGAGTTTACTGTACACTTACCCAGTGCGTGGGTGAGTTTACTGTACACTTACCCAGAGCGTGTGTGGGCAGCAGCAAGAAGACGAAGTTGAGGATCTCTGCGATGTCCTCGTCGCCGGTGATGATGCCCAGGTACATGTACAAAGCCCTGCTACACACTTACCCTGAGGGCATGTGTGAGTTAACTACTGAGTGCATGTGTGGGTTTACACTTAAAGCTTACCCAGTGCATGTGTGGGCAGCAGCAAGAAGACAAAGTTGAGTATCTCTGCGATGTCCTCGTCGCCGGTGACGCTGCCCAGGATGAAGACAGCAATGATGGATCCCAAGGTCACCATGGACAGCAGGAAGGTGATGAGGGAGTAGGCTGTCAGCGGGGAGTCGAACATGAACCCCGCCATGTAGGTGAAGGGCAGGGCTGCCCAGCCATACAGCAGCTGGGAGAAAGCAAAAGAAAATGATCTCAAAACCAAAGTTTAGGCCTATTAAATTTGTTCCAACACAAAAGAAACACTTGCTAGGTTAGCTCAAATGTTCATTGAATTCATTTGAGGTACTGGAAGTGTCTGGTTCCAAGATCTGAATGACAGCTTATCTGTTTTGGTAGAATCTATAGATGTAAAATTTAACCTTTGTTCCAACACAACAGAAACACTCAGCATGAATTTTCAGTCAGTCTTGTTGACCTAAATTATCTTAAATGAACTCAATGAACATTCTAGCTTCCACTCTGTACGCTCAGTCAGCATTTACTGGTTCCTTGTACCAACTCTTTTTGAGAAGTGCAATGAAACAGTTCCCCAAACCTAAACATGCCACCTATAAGGACTGTTGTACATTGTATGCCCCCAGTATTTTGAGCCCTCCCATTCCTATTCCCAATTTCCGACACTCACCAGCAGGGTGACCACAGTGCCGAGGTTCTCTCCCCCGTAGTCGTCGGTGTTGAAGGCAGCAAACATGATGACCAGGCAGACCCAGGGCACCAGGTAGTTGATCATGTCCCACACGTACGTGGCCACCCAGTACGTCACAGGGTCCAGCCCACTCACAAACTGGATGTGTTTGGCCTGAGAAGTGGACATTCAATGAAAAAGGGGTCAGAGCTGTGCTAAAATATGCTCAATACCAATCTTTCCTGTTTAGATTTAAAACTTTTGAACCAACACAAAGAAGTTCTCTCACCTAGAGCTTTCACCGACTGACCCAGTGAGACTTGTCACATGGTTGCAAGCGCTAGGTGAGAGAACTTCTTTGGGTTGGATCAAAAGTTTTAACTGTAACCATCTAACTACCAACACACTAGATGAACTTTCATGATCCTATCTTTCCTTTTAAGACAAGGGGAAGTCAGTTTTGCTAACCTTACACCACCTCTCGTTGCACACAGGTAGCAAAGAGACAATGTGTTGACAAGCCATATAGCAGGGGTGCCCAGGCTGAGGCTAATCCCAGCTAAGGTGGCACTGTGTCCAGTAGGGAAAAGGAAGAAAACCAAGCAATGACTTGGAGAAGGACAGTCAAGTGAGACCTTGCAGAGATTAGTTGCAGTAGGAAAGTGGGTGCAACAGATAAGAGAAGACAGTAACGGCATGACTTGGTGCCAAAAACTGTCATGAGGATGATGATGACTGCTTTCCTGTTTGTATCTGTTTTCCTTTGCATTGCCTCCCATTCCATTAGATTTCCTTACCTTGGGCACACACATTTAAATTACAGTCATGAAAACTACAACACAATAATATACAAAATTGATAATATTACAAGTACATGATTGTACAGAATTATAGACCCAATCAAAATGTTTCCATTAGATTTCCTTACTTTGCATTGTCTCTCATTGACGACGAATGGCACGAAGCTTGCAGCGAGGAAGGCCATGCCGTAGACCACCAGGATGGCCAGACTCACGCCCGCCCCGCTCCGTGAGGCGTTCTCGGCCAGGTTCTCTGCACTGTTGGGCAGGGGGTAGTTGGTGGCCTGGGAGGGGGGTGTAAAAGAATTTTAGTTTTATGTACTAGACGTTTTTTTTCCTTTGTTCTTTTCTCAAGGAAAAAAATTCTGGCTGACAAATCACACAGCTAGGGTACAATGTACAATGTATGTCATAAGCTATGATACAGCTGTAAGACACTGTACATGTCTGGAAGCTCCCATACCAACACCATTCATTTATAAAAAACCATACAAAGGTTTTTGACTAGCCTGGGTGCTATCTGATTTGTTACAAATCCGATGGCATCCAGGCTAGTCTTTGACGTGAATGTCTGACCAAATGTCTTTTTCGAACTTCGAACTTTCACTCACACACACACACACACACACGTACATACATGTAACATACATGCACGCACACATACACACAGACAAACATGCAGACAATATCTAACACACACACACACACACACAAACACACACACACAACACACGTACATACATGTAACGTTAACATACATGCACGCACACATACGCACAGACAAACATGCAGACAATATCTAACACACACACACACAGAAACACACACACACACACAGACAATATCTAACACACACACACACAGAAACACACACACACACACAGAAACACACACACACACAGAAACACACACACATGGCACACACACACACACTCATACAGACACACACACACACACACAAACACACACACACAGTCGTACCTTGATGCTGTGGTCAGTGCTAGTGTAGAACTGCAGAAGGATGTTACTCAATGCATTCAGCGACACGGCAGGGAAATGATACCCCTGGTCACTGTACCAGGCTCTGGCAAGGGTCTGGCTCTCATTCTACAGAACACAGAAATCAACTAAGCGTAAGCAAACTGAGTACATGTACTAGGCTGTATTACAGTTTTTACTTGTTAACAATTAACGTACTTGTCTATATTTGTTTTAAAGCTTTCAATGTCCCTGTTCTGAAGCACTGAGTCTCTGTTATATTGAGTACATTTACATGTATGCATAATAGTCTGTCTGGTCATAGAATGAAACTGAACTATCATATTGAGTAACTGAAATTTTGCATGCACAAAATGCCAACCTTTCCTCCCAGTCAGAATGTCTTTCTGTTCAACAAGTTTGCTTGATCAAGGCCAAAACGTAACTTTTGGGCACTTAACAAAGTTGGTGTGAGGTATAAGTGCTATGCTAGGAGATGGTGGCAAACGTTTGAAGGCTGTAAGGCTGTATTTGTGAGGAAAACACTTGTCAGAGAGACAGTTCCATGTTGCAGAATAGTCTTACCTCAGGGTTAGAGGAGAGGGTGAAGCCGGCCAGGGTGCTGCGGAAGTAGGAGGCAGAGTCACTGGTCCTTAGGACGTGCTCCTGGTAGTACATGGTGGTGTCCGGCAGGAAACTTGCATTCACACCTGACAAACACAACGGTATTCTGGTATTTACGTAGCAGTTAGCGATGTGTGCCTTATTCCTGTACCTATAAAATCACTTGGCAAATAGAACTGTGTCCTGGTTTTTACATAGCAGTTAGGGATGTGTACCTTATACCTTTACCTATAAAATCACCTGACGTATAGAATGGTATTCTGGTTTTACAAAGCAATTAGGTATTTGTATCTGATAACTGTACCAGTAAAATCATTTACTACTAGATATAATGCACCATTTTTTACACTTTGTCTAGCATTTCAGAATTACACTGGGAGATCTACAGGCGTGAATGAATGAATGAATGAATGAATGAATGAATGAATGAATGAATGAATGAATGAATGAATGAATGAATGAATGAATGAATGAATGAATGAATGAATGAATGAATGAATGAATGAATGAATGAATGAATGAATGAATGAATGGATGAATGGATGGATGGATGGATGGATGGATGGATGGATGGATGGATGGATAAATGACTGTAAAAACTGTTTAAGCAAACTGATATTTTACCTATGGGGCAGGTACTGGTGGGTGCCATTCGCAGCATACAGGAGTAGCAGTGGTAGTAACCAAAGTCCTGGCTGTTCACACACTTGCCCTGGTATGATGACGAAGCGTTGGCTGTGACGGAGTCAGCATACAGAGCGTCAGCGCACTGTGAGTTCAGGACCAGGTTGGGATAGCCGCAGCATTGCGCGTTGTCCGTTAGCGTTGTCCCTTGTACGCTGCTTCCCGCGTTGTCGGACACGAGAGAGTTGACGGTGGAAGTCACGTCACTTCCTTGCATGTTGTACTGGGACAGGTATGCGGATAGGTGCTACAGGGCAGAATAATCAAGACTTAGACACCCAGCAATTTGTGACCTTACATTTGAAAAGCCTGCGACATTTGCTATTACTCTTATAGCTTATACAATCAGATGTATGTCACTTTGTAGCAATAGTATTGTAGTAGTTGGCATCCTTCCAAGGTGGTTTTAAAATTTAAGCGTGTTACATATTAATATATTAACTGCTATCTAGCTTGGGGCACCTACACTAGCAAGCTTTAAAAATGACACTTAGTGGCCTCATTCAAAGTGGATTGTTGACTACACTGTTATTGGAAAGGAATGATACAGTGTGATCTCTAAATATGAATTATGGAGTGATCTTTTATCATCAAACATCAACTAATTCAGCAAAGTAACTCTCTAACCTGGAACAGGTTCCCGCTGCTGTTCTGAGTCCTCAGGTCGGCGAACAGGCCCGTGGTCTGCTCGTTAGCGCTGGCGTTGGCGAAGTTGAGCTCTCGGGCGGGGTCGCTGGAGCGGGTCGGGAACGTGATGCTGACCAGCAGGCCAAGGAACACGAAGAGCAGGGGGAGGATCAGCTGCGTGATCAGAGCCTTCTTGTCGCGCTTTGCGCTGAGGAAACGCTTCACTATCATTGCCTGAGGAAAGATTGAACGCTCACTGTTACCTTCCCCAAGAAAGTTATGTTATCGGTACCATTCATGTGTTTGTGTGAGTGTATATATGTGTGTGTGTGTGTGTGTGTGTGTGTGTCCATCTTTCTTCGAAGAGCAGCTGGAGGATCAGCTGGGTGATCAGAGCCTTCTTGTCTCGCTTTGCGCTCAGGAAACGCTTCACGATCATGGCCTGAGAAAAGATTGAACGCTCACTGTTACCTTCCCCAAGAAAGCTATGTTATCGGTACCATTCATGTGTGTGTGTGTGTCCGTCTTTCTTCGAAGAGCAGTGGGAGGATCAGCTGGGTGATCAGAGCCTTCTTGTCTCGCTTTGCGCTCAGCAAACGCTTCACTATCATGGCCTGAGGAATAAGGCTGTGTTATCAGTCCCATTCATGTATGTGTGTGTGTGTGTGTTTATGTGAGTGTATAAGTGTGTGTGTGTGTGTGTGCTTGAGAGCAGAGGGAGGATCAGCTGGGTGATCAGCGCCTTCTTGTCCCGCTTCGCGCTCAGGAAACGCTTCACGATCATGGCCTGAGGAGGGAGCAAACATTCATTGTTACCTTTGCAAGAAGGTTATGTTATCGGTACCATTCATGTGTGTGTGTGTGTGTCTGTCTTTCTTTGAACAGCAGTGGGAGGATCAGCTGGGTGATCAGCGCCTTCTTGTCTCGCTTTGCACTCAGGAAACACTTCACGATCATGGTCTGAGAAAATTTTGTACATACATTGTTACCTTCCCAAAGAAAGCTATGTTATCAGTACCATTTGTGTGTGTGTGTGTTTGTGTGTGTCTTGTGTGTGTGTGTGTTTTGTTTGTGTGTTTTGCATGTGTCCATCTGTCTGTAAACACAACAACTCAAGAATCTTTGGGTGGATTGTCTTAATATTCCATAGTTTAAGTACTGGCAAAAAGTAGTGGTTGATACTTGTCATTAAACATAGCTTGAATTCCTTCCGTTGTGCATGAAACGTAACAACAGCCAATATTTCAGCACCAAGGAGATGACCACAAAGTTTTCACAGCACCTTGAACTGCTGCCACTTCAGCGCGCACCCCTTCACCAGGTCTCCGTTGTCCCTGTACCGGTACACAGAACCGTCCTCCATGTTCACCGCGCTGTGGGGCGGCGGGGCCACTATCCCGTTGCCGTCAGCTGCCAGCAAAGTCTCATCCACGCTGGTTGTCTCTTGGGTCATCACTGTCCCATTGGCCTGTCCGTTACTGTGGGCCTGGAGGTTGGTGAGGCTCCCAATGCCGTCCAGTGTCCCTTCACCAGTCTAAATAGGTGATACAGTAGTTCAGGTGAGCAAAAAGAACTCATGGGACTGCTTAGGAAACTAATACATTGATACACAAGCTAGAAATTGAAAGAGAAGAGCTGAAAGGAAGCAAAGGTGGATGTTCTTCTCTCTAGTTTCTTTGTTGTTGCATGCAAGATTTTGAAGTTACAAAATGGCGTATCCAGGGCTGTACATCAATTGTTGGACATCTCAGGAACTGCTATTCCAACTGCTAGGAGGGAATGAATGAGTGAAGGAAGGAAGGAAGGAAGGAAGGAAGGAAGGAAGGAAGGAAGGAAGGAAGGAAGGAGGCATGAAAAAATTGATCTACATGTATTTTGGTACATAAAAAAACCCTTAAGTTCCTTACCCTCATGAAGACCTCCTCCAGGGTTGTGACAGAGACGCCAAAGCTGTTGATGCCGAAGAGCTCCCTGTTCTGCTCCAGCTCCCTGAAGAGCGGCGCGAAGAGGCTGGTGGTCTCGGTGGGGAGGATGAACGCCATCTCCGACCCCACGCTCCCGCCAAACAGTGCAGACGGAACGTGCTTCTCCACCTCGTCTTTTACCTTCTGTTCCACACAGACTGGCGACTTCGCAAGGGTTAGGTGATATCCCACTCCAAACCTGCAGCACAGCAAAAATGAATGAATTAATGGTTTATTCCTCAAAACACATAGCAGCCATAGGCTGAATTGAGTGTTTCAATACACATGATACATGTAGATTAAAAAGTCAGGTAATGTATAATGCACAAATCTCAGCGTTCTATGACTATGCATACTGTTTTGCTATCACTGGTACTGCTTGTTTAACAGAGAGGTCATGTGGACAATCAGAGTGTTCTGAAATTGTTTTGTTCTTATCCTGAGGGTAGCCAGTAGATGTTTCTCCCTGGTGTCTGTGCTGTCACCTCAAAAAGGAGAGAGCCAGTTCCTAAATGTAGGGCACTTTGGCAAGGACTGTGAAAAGTTTTGGCAGAGTTCACGTCAGTGTTGAGCTAGTGATGTTATAGGAGTATAAATAGTCTAAACAACACACCAAAGCACCCATGCTGAAAATCTATGTGTATACAAATTTAAATAAAACAAATAGGATAACAACATAAGACTGACCTATTCTTGAGAAAGAGTGAGCTCCCGCTGCAGGTGAGTTTTCCGTTGGCCATGATGGCAATCCTGTCTCCCAGCAGGTCGGCCTCGTCCATGTAGTGTGTGGTGAGCAGCATGGTGCGCCCCTCCTTGTACTTCAGCAGCAGGTCCCACGTGGCCCGCCGCGCGTACGGGTCCATACCGGCGGTCGGCTCGTCAAGGATAACCACCTGGGAACCGCCTGGGAAGAAGCATTGTATTTGACATTACGGAGTACAGTAGCATTCAGCTCAGAACCAAGACATCTTGGGTTTGATTCCCAGACATTTCCTGATGTTGTGCCATTATGAAAGGCAGGTAAAAATGAGTACATGTACCTAGCTTTCGTTATGGATGTCTCTCAGATAGGACATCAGAACTGTTTACACTTCAGTAACATGAATACAGCCTTGCAATCTTACAAAAGAGTGATGAGATGCTGTTATCTATCTGGTATAAACCTTGATCAGTGAACCTTACGTTCCCTATCATGTTCTTATGATTGACACAGTTTTCATGTCCAGAGTGACATGGATGAACCCTCACCAATGAGAGCCATGGAGCAGGACAGTTTCCTCTTCATCCCTCCCGACAGCTGGTCGGAGACAGTCCCAGACTTGTTCTCCAGCTGAAGGTCCTGCAGCATCTGGGCAATCTCCCTCTTAGCTTCATCACCTGTCTTACCTGGGGACAGGTGGAAAACAGGTAAGACACAGGTGAAGTTACGATTAATATTACTGTTATTGCACAGCAACTGTAGGAACTACACTGTAGCGCAATATCTGTGCAATCTCTCTCTTCACTTTATCACCTGTCTTAACGCAGGATAGGTGAAACACAGATGAAACATAGGAGAGACACAAATTACATTGGTGAGATAATTAAAGGTTAATGACCTGTCCTGAGGTGTATCTGGTGTCATAAGGCTGGGTCTTTTACTATAACCATTGATTATACTGAAGGGCAGTTATACTGGCTATGCAGTACAGGAATACACGATCTAGGACAGGCCATACATGTTACAACTACCAGCTTAGAAAACCCCCACCTTTCAGAGTGATGGCGAAGTAGAGATGCTCCCTGACAGTAAGCCTGTCAAACAGTACGTTGTGCTGTGGGCAGAGTCCCAGACTGTTGCGTATCTCGTCCATGTTGGTCAGGATGCTGTGGTCATTCACGGTGGCCGTGCCGGAGGTCGGGGGGAACAGTCCCGTCAGGATGGACATGGTCGTGGTTTTACCTGAGAGAAATAGACATGGGAAATTGGAAACTAAAGGTAAAATTTGCAGAGCAAATACCTGTAAGTTCACACTGTCTAGCCCAACAAGTTAACCCTGTTTATTACCCATTCATATATCTGGTGACACAGTCCAACTCTGTCCAGCTATTCACTGACAGCTACATTACGTAATCCAACACCACAGGGTGTTGCCTCAGCACCAGTTACCATGGTGACAGACAGCTGGTCAAGGTCATCATTATTTGTTTGGTATGAAAGAAGGAGATAGAAGAAGAAACTGAGCAAAAACAATATGTATGGTCATTGAATTTGTTTAGAATGGAAGAACAAGAAGAAACTGGTGAGCAAAAACAATATGTTTTCCTTCTGCAATGGTAATCATAAAGTTACCATGTACCATTTTTATCTACAACAACGTACCAGCCCCGTTATGCCCCAGCAGTGAGGTGATCTGGCCCTTGTACATGTTGAGCGACAGACCATCCACAGCAACCTTTCTCCCGGTGGAACCTGGAATTTTAGTTAACATGTACAATGTAATATTGTTATTAACTGATGCAATTAATTGATGTTAAAGGTGTATTTAATTCTTCAAACCTAGTAAATGAATATTATTTGAGCCTAACTTTTTGTATGTAATGATGTTTAATGTTGACAAGACAAAGTTTTTGACAGTAGTTAGAAGTGGATGTAAATAGCAATTAATAATAATATGATGTTTGTATTTGATAATGTGTGTCATGAGAGGACTCCAACAAGAGTAGTGGTGTGTTACCAGTCTATGCCACTAATTGGAAATTCCTGAAATAAACAAACAAACCTTTGAAGACCTTGCCCAGGTTATTGATGGAGATGCCCAGCGGCAGGCCCTGGGGCTCAGGCTCATGGGGTGAGTCTTCGGTGCTTGGGTTGTTCGCTGGCTCCATCTCGAGATCCTGACAAGAAATTAGGACATACGGTAAGCCATGATGTACTAGAAATTTTTCTGCATACTGGTACCTGTACCAATGCAGGTATCACAGAATATTACCTGCACCAATGTAGACATGTGCAAGTAGACAGAAACACCTGCACAGCTCCAATCTTACCTGCACTTACCTGCATATGCAGGTGGTATTTCCAGCCCTGTGTACTAAATGCAGGGCTGGAAATATTTGATGAATTATGCACTTTCGTGCTTACCAAAACTGGAGCTGTGCATCAAATTTCTGACTGTGGGTGCACCTAGATATTTGTGTAGGGTTACATTATAACTCAAAGAACAGTAACTGAACACTCTAGACTAGTATACAGCATTTTCCTGGCATTTAATTGTTAGAAATTATGATTATAAAACCTTTTGTTACATGTAACTACACAATGCAACTGGGCAAAAAGTTGTACATGCAAGTAAGCAAAGTTATATCATTCAGAGCAGGGTCTTTTTTCCTGTATCTGTCACAATAATTTTTCTGATTAGCTAGAATAAGTTAGTATTCAAAGTGCCAATTGTAGGGACGACCTCCACCAGAATATGTTTCCTATCTTAAGAAGTGGTTCCAAGTTCAAGACCTAACCTGGCTCTGTTCATTAGCAACATGGTTGTCATAACATACCGAACTTGGGCCTTTCTTCTTCTTTGTCTTCTGCAGAAACCAAATATATATATACTGGAAGTTACAGTAACTGTATACACAGCCAGTTGTAATATCAGTTATTAGTTGGAGTTGGACTATACTGTAGGCATGCAAATGAAAAAAAAAATTCTGGGTTTAGGTCGAAAAATCTCAGACTTACGTCCTCAGGTAATTCCCTTTGCTGGCGCTTATAAAAGGACAAATGATTTAGTACAGCTGAACTCTAAGGGAAAAAGTCAGGTTGTCTAACTGTGGCCACTAAAAAAACTTTGCATGCAACATGCATGGAGACTGCCTTCTGACTCAAACATAATTCTCACTTCTATATGATGATCATAAATGGTGAGGGGAATGAGGGGGGATCAAGATCAACTCAGTTTTTAAAATCAGCTTTTGGCAAACTTGACTTAAGTGCATGCAAATACTAGACTGCGTATACAAGCACATTTCATGCAATGTGACAAGCTTGCATTAATTTGCCAGATGTGGTGTGTTTGCAACTGCAATAAGAATTTAACACAAAAATCAATGCATCCATTCTAAGTCTTTTAAAGTATTGGCGTCATAGTATATCATGCACTGGTCAGTACATAATGTTAGTAGTAACATATTTCAATATATTATGCATTCACTTAAAGATACATTTCATGTGTTGCAGTCACAGATTCATAGCAGATTCAACACAAAATCAAATCCGATTTTGAAAATTGTGCTATTGTTATACACACTCTGGCAAATCATGCTTGTTGTTACGCACACTGGCAAATCATGCTATTGTAACAGTTAATGAAACTTTATTGCATGTTCATTCCCCGAGGGGATAAATGCATGGATGTACAAAGTACAATGTACTAGAGAGTACTACAACAATAGTAATAAGGAAAGGCTAACATCAGGTCTAAGGTATACAATGCTAAAAAAGGAATATATATACCATTCGACAAAGTGTGCTGAATGGAAGAGCCCAGAAGATACCAGTAGAGTTTGTTTGTTGGTATGTTTGTTTGTATGTTTGTTTGTGTTTCCCTACCTCTCCGTGCTTGACCCTGTTGCTGGGGCCGCACCAGTAGGACCGGAGGAAGAGGAAGTAGGGGGGTTTGGGGACTCCGTACTTCCCGGGAAACACGGCCTCCACGTACCACGTCACCAGCAGGTAGCACAGCGTATCCACCACAAACATGGCCAGAACCATGGACAGGGAGAAGTTGTCATCCACTGACGGGGTGGTGCGGAAGTTGGACCTGTATAGTAGTAGAAGAATGTAAAGACATTTACAAAAATTATTTTAATTAATGCATCTGTGTCCACTACAAACATGGCCAGAACCATGGACAGGGAGAAGTTGTCGTCAACAGATGGTGTGGTGCGGAAGTTGGACCTGCATTAGTAGTAGAAGAATGTAAAGACATTTAATTAACGCGTCTGTGTCTACCATGAACATGGCCAGCACCATGGACAGGGAGAAGTCATCATCCACAGACGGCATGGTGCCGAAGTTCGACCTGCATTTACAATTAATAATCTTTATTATAATTATTGATTGGAAATTCATGCCCGAGGGCTAGTTGCTTACAGTTGTATAGAGTCTACTACTACTACATTAAACTATGCTATCATGAGGCTTGACTTCTTCTTTGAAATTGAAGGCAGAAGGCAATATAATGAGATGACCCATGCTCTGCATGATGAGTGGGTTAAATGATATCTAAAGTTAAGAACACTGCTGAACAATAATTTTTCCTTGAGACTCCAAATGGCTATCTAAAATGGCTAGTGTTGATGTCTCATGTTACGTATCATGATTGTCACTGAGTGTGTATTTGATATTCTATCGATTATTGTACTTTTAACATTGGATATTTGATGTTTTTAGAATACACAAAATACCTACTGTTGTCAAGAACAACACAATGCATTCAGGCACATGTCTGTGAGCTGTTTTAATAAAGAGTGCATTGAATCTAAATTTACCATGTGGCACCGATGGTGGCCTCCTCGTAGTATATGATGAGCCTGATGCCGATGGATGCACAGGTGTTGGACAGGAGGCAGGCTGCAGCCTTCTGAGGGGCTGACATGTCCTCGTACGACGTCACAATGAACTGGTACGGCATGTAGTTCAGGTACCACAGAACTAGGCTGAACAGCAACGCTACCTGTAAACCAACAGAAAGCAAAAATTAATTAGGTACAGAAAATGGTCATTGACAAACATGTCCTCGCATGGCATCACATGAAACTGGTACGGCATGATTGTAGTTCAGGTACCACAGAACAAGGCTGAACAGCAACACTACTTGCAAGGGAGAAAAAATTTTTTTTAAATGGCCCAACATGTCCTCCAAGGACGTCAGAGGTGCTCACAAGTAGAGAGGAGCAAAACGTACCTTTGCCCGTGAGAAGAATGTGGAGACCATGAAGCACCATGCGATGGAGGCGATGACCCAGAACAGCCAGAACACGATCAGCAGGGAGAGGTCGCTGTGGGCCAGGATGCCGGCAAACTTCAGCACCAGAGTGATGGGAACAACTGTCAGCAGCAGGAACAACAGGTTCTTCAGGAACCACGCAAGCCAGTGCACCTGGAGAGGATAGAGCAGGCATGTAAGACGGTTCTCTGTCTCTCTCTGTCTGTCTCTGTTTCTCTCTCTCTCTCTCTCTCTCTCTCTCTCACTCTCCTGTCTCTCTGTTTGTGTCTCTCTCTTCTGTCTCTCTCTCTCTCTGTCTCTTTCTCTGTCTCTGTCTCTCTCTCTGTCACTGTCTCTCTCTCTGTCTTTCTCTCTGTCACTGTCTCTCTCTCTGTCTGTCTCTCTGTCTGTCTCCCTCTCTCTGTCACTGTCCCTCTGTCACTGTCTCTCTGTCTCTCTCTGTCTCTTTCTCTGTCTCTCTGTCTGTCTCTCTCTGTCTCTCCCTGTCTCTGTCTCTCTCCATCTCTGTCTCTCTCCGCTTGCCCAGCATTATTTTCTTAGATTAAAATCTAAGATAGCACTTGGGGTCAATATGAAGCAAAACACACTTAATATATATTTATTTTTTACCCACCCAGTTGGCCAGACCCATCATCTTCATGCTCTCCTTCAGACGGGTCTCCTTCTCATACACAAGCTCCTGTGGAGGGGTGGGATAACATGGAGGTTAGACATCCAGGTAATCAGATATGCTAAAAAAACAGTTAACAAGCAACTGGATATGATACAAGCAACTGGATATGATGCAAGCAACTGGATTTGATTTTGGAAACGGTCAGACATTTCAGGTAGCATCCACTACATTTTGTCAGTAGGTGATGTGTCATTTAAGCTTGACCTACAGTTGACCTGTACTGACCTTGACCAGTAGGTAACACATTTAACCTTGATCTACAAGTGACCTGTACTGACCTTGACCAGTTGGTGAAACATTTAACCTTGACCTACAGGTGACCTGTACTGACCTTGACCAGTTGGTGAAACATTTAACCTTGACCTACAGGTGACCTGTACTGACCTTGACCAGTTGGTGAAACATTTAACCTTGACCTACAGGTGACCTGTACTGACCTTGACCATCATGCCTGCGGTGTAGATGAAGGCCAGGGTCAGGATGAGCGGCAGCAGGAAGCTGATGGTCTGCAGGAACGTGTCCTCACGCCACTTCGGGTACGGGAATTGCTGCAAATATACAATAGTTGGTTTGAACTGTAAACCTAATGAAATTTTCATGGTGATTTATTGTGTACATAATCCTCAGTGACCATGATGTACATGTAGTAAGATTGTGTGTAAGTTTGAAACTATACCAATAGAACTGGTTCAAGGTTAAAGATATACCATGTACAGGAAAATCCCAGAAGTCCAACCATCTTGACTTTTAAGCATCCACTTTGGACACAGATCTAGTAAAACACACATTCAGCAGAAAAATCCTTTAAGTGGGACTGGTGTGACTTAGTTATGTAAAAATGAACGGCAAACACATTAATAGATGTTAGTAGTTTAACTTTTGTACCTGCAGCTGTATCTCCACGTCTTGCAGAGCGTTGGCTGACCCGTTTGCTGCAGCCTGGTGCTGAATCAGCACAGTGTCCACCGCAGCCTGCAGTACCAGGAACCGCGCCTTGTAGTCCGCCCTGTCCCTGCAGCAGAGGTCAGGGAACATTGGTCAGAGGTCAAGAACAGAGGTCAGAGGTCAGAGGTTAGGAGACAGAGGTCAGGACGCAAGAAGAAGAAGACACGTCGTATACCATTAAAGGTTTCCTGGGCACATAAACATGGTTTATCGAATTTGCTTCTGAGGCCATTAGGAGAAGAAACACAAAATATCAGTGCTGTCAAACTGATAAACCCACTAACAATAACTAAGTTATAATATTGTATAATAATAAATAAAGTGAAGAAAGGTCATCATCCAGAAACAAAATTGAACTGTAATTATATCCTGAACACAATTTGTGACAGTCACTGTCATCTCTGACCATGATGCCTGCAGTGTATTCAGCAATGGCTTAGATCCTTCACTCCTGTTACTTTTGTCAAAGTATAGATTGGAGCAAAGGACAGTCAAAATTTTGGTATGTCTATTTTTGTGTCATAAACGTTCTGCAGTTCAACTTAATGGATGGTTTCTACCAACAGTACAAACACAGCTGAACATTCATACCATTGGGTATTTATCCATTATTCGTAGTGTTGGAGAAATGACAGCAATGAGAGAGAGGGAGAGAGAGAGAGAGAGAGAGAGAGAGACTGGTTTATTTGTGCCTTACACAAGGTACACATAAGAGCCTGTAAGCAGCCATATTTGGCTGAATTGGAAAGGCTTTTAAAATATACAACACAAAATGCGCTTATAGATTAGCTATTTGTTAAAAATTCTTTACAATTGATAAAAACCTACTCGTTACATATCTAGCTTACATTAAAATTTACCACACGTTAAAAATACAATAATGATATATAAAAACAGTTGATTGAATGTTTCTTTCAAGTTAAAATTACAGAAATAATGCAAAGTTATGATATGCAGGGTTGTATATGTGAAACTGATGTAGTGAATCATTTTTCACCATTCAAAAGCTTAACACAATGAGACAAATTGGGTATTTACCCAGTTTGCCTGGGTCCAGGCCGGGAGAATGTTTGGTAGGTTCTCTCCGTAGCCCAGGTTTTGCGAGTTCCCGCGATGTCGTGAGGCAGGCGTATGGCGTAGTGGACGTCATTAGGCAGGGACGTGGCGTTTGGCTCGATGTAGAACACAATCGCTGGTGTGCAAGGTAAGAGATATCTGGTTACACAATGTACAATACCACAAGCAATAGGCCACAACAGTCATAATTGTTGATATATTACAGCCATTCAGAACAAATCTGTCGACTTGGGAAGGTTTACATTAAAGTGTTGCTTTTAAAAGGCATCAACTGCTCTCATGGCCTTGACAGTGAAACTTGAGTATCCAGAAGCAAGTGGAATTGCAGGATTTCCATGATAGCAGCACCTAATTTCTTAAAAGCATGCAATTTTTTTAATTGGAACCTTCTACATACATGTATGAACCTTCAGCCTGATAAGGTATTACCATTTGAGGCATTTTTATTCGTTGCTGAACTTAAGGCAGTAGGAAGAAGTTAAAATGACAAATCCATGATGAGACCATTCACCTCCGTAGTAGGTGGTCTGCTCCTCAGCTACCGTCCTCGCCATGTCAAACTCTGACGCAAACTCCACAGTAGCAGGCTGCTTCTGAACCTGCGCAACTATCTGGCTCATCAGCTGGGTAGCTGTAAGGCAGGCAGAACATTGTAATTTTCCATATCAATACATTGTATTGGATTATGTGTAGCACTGTGTACTAGTACCGTGTACCTGTACAATTATTTACCTAAACCTAAACAAAATAAAACACTGGTGGATGGCATTTTTTACTGAAAGAATAAATTACATTTCAAAGATAACAATTTTGACAGTTTATAGACTTGTTTTTAAATAAAATACTCCGTGTCTGTTGACCCTCATACAAAGACAACAATTTACCACTAAAAAGACTACATGACATGGCCATCACGTGTACTTTCTACTCGTCAGAAACTGAGAAGTAACTCACTCAGGCTGTTTTTAGGGAAGTAGGCCACTTTATTGGGAGTATTTCCAGCCATAGCAGCCAACTGGGACATGTTGAGGGATCCCATACCCCCACCATTGTTGGTCTGGGGCTCTTCAAACCCAGGCTCATAGGTAGCTGAAGGAAGGAACAAAAACATGCAATAATTCAATAAACACTGCTATAAGGCACTATGGGGAACTATATATATCCTATAAAGTTTATTGCAAGTTCTTGCCCATAGGCTAATTGTAAGTAAATGTAACTTGAAATAAAAATTAAAAGATGGACAACAGGGTGGATAACAATATACAATTATGCAACTGCTCTAACTACTAAACACTAAATTCTAACTTATTCGAACTTATTGTATTATATAACAACTGAATCTAAATGTCGTCAGAATTTTGACTTAACATATGTAAGACTAGAGGTAAATGGTAAAGCATCACACTGTCCACAACCATCAGCCAAATTTGTTGATTGCTGGAAGGTTGCCAAAGTTGAGGGTATCTATGACAAGATGCTATGAATATTAACTTAAGGGAATGCAATATTATTGTTACTTACAGAAGCAGTGGTCTGTAGCTTCTAGCCTTCTCCTGCAAAATCAACAGCCAACAAAGATTTTAAACTCTTAGTAAGCATAGGAATACAATGCAAACTGATATTGTTTACCATCCAAGGCCCAGATGTCAATCCAAACTTCATCTACTCTGTGTCTTGTATTGTGCATGTATGCAAATGGCAAGAAACATTGAAATACATTACACATCTTACATCTTAAGTGTAAAGAGTGTTGCAGAAAATCTGCTTACCTTGCAATAATCAGCAGTGCAAACAAAGCGATGGGGACAAATATCTCGATGAAGGTACCAATGGGTCTTCTGATCTGTTGTACAAGGAATAGTAAGTAGTATGAGTAGAGCAGAATCATTCCTCAGTTAACGAACAGTATTTGCAACACAATTACTTCTCAGTCAGAGCTGCATAGTTCCCAATACAAACCTTAAATTTGTTCATCCTGTCACTCAGTACAAGGCTTAGCAAGTTAAATGTTAATGGGGAAAGCATGGTTAGACTATTGCAATTTACATTATTTGCATAGCAAAATGTATGACTGACAACTTCAATGTTATGATTGTGTATGTACTTGAGTTTTGTACCCACAACAATGCTCTTAGATGTATTCAGCACCAAGGACAGGCATGGATGTTGTTGACATTGAGTGCATGATTAGAAAAATGCTTTTCTTCATATACAGTAGATAATCTGTGATTGTGATTTAAGTCTCTTTGTGTGGGTTTTGATATTTTACACTTTGGTATTTAACAGTCTTCAGCACCAAGGACAGGCATGGGTGTTCTTAGCAAACTTCATGGTTGGAAAATTGTTTTTTTTTCATTCACCTGTATTTGTGATTGTTACTCTGATGTATTTGACTGTGTGTGTGTGTGTGTGTGTGTGTGTGTGTTTTGGATGTTGTATTTTGGAATTTTACACTTCTATAGCATACCACAGTCTCTTAGTGTTGTATTCAGTACCAAGGACAGGAATGCATGTACTTAATCTCATTCACATACATGTACATGAGGAAGATTTTTATTTCTTGCCATGGTACAACCTACATGGTACATGTATGTGAGATATGAAACCTGAAAGCACATAACTTCCTATAACAGATATATTCTACATAGTAGTGATTCTAAATTTACACGCCTGTGTCTTTCCAGTGCTCAAGTATCAAGTGTTGTGATCTCACCTGAATGAACTCTGCCAAGCCCTACAGAGAGCCATTCAAGGAATGGCTGTCATGTCATACTAATATCAAGGACATTTTTAATTGCTCTTTAATTCCTTTGTGTAAATTTCTTCCAACCTCTACAGCTTATTGAGTGAACTCTACCAAGCCCTAAAGAGAGCCATGAAAGGAATGGCTGTCATGTCAAACTAACATCAAGCATATTTTTAATATTGCTTTTTCCTTTGTGTAAATTTCTTCCAACCTCTACAGCTTATTTATTCATGAGGTGTCATAATCTGCTGGAAGGCAATGTCCCATTGAGTATGTAGGATGGGCCCAAGCACCTGCTTGGACAACGATTCAATAAAAACCTATGTAAAGAATGTTCTCATCCCACCCATATTAATAATAGTAATTGCTATCTTGTTCATCACAAGAGCCTGGGCCTTTTCATTACAATTCTTTTGTCATCAGGCAGCGCAGCAGCAAAACAGCGCCATGGTAACCAAATATTTGCAGCTGCAACATGAAGTGTTGCTTACTGGTAATAATTGCCAATTACTAAGGTTTGTATAGAGTTGCCTGTGGCAAGTGAAAAATGAATTCAAAGCTTGTCAGGCTGCTACAGTGGAATCTCTTGTATCTCATACAAAATCACAAGGTCACAATGTAGATGTACATGTACATGTATAAGAGATGTTGTATGTCAAAGTTACCCCGGACTTATCTTGATGTTATGATCACCATTTAAAGAGGCCACCAAGTTTTCCATGTTGACATACAAAAAGAAAAGTATTCTAGACTCCTTTTACCATCACAGAACCTTACACATTACCAAAAAATGGGTTTTTTAGCTTCCACTTTTTCAGAAAATCAAGAGTCAAAACCAATTAACATTTAGTCAAAATTTACAGGGAGCATTTGAACTAGTCACAATATTATATTGTTCTTCATTCATATTCAATATGTTTGAGCCAGGTGATTCTTCAACCTTTCAAGAAGCGCATCAAAGTTGGACATGTGGTGATGTGAATTCTCTAATCGCATTTGTTTAGCCTCAGCAGAAGAGACGTGTGCAAGGGAAGCACGTGTCACTGGTGGCAATTAACGGTGGCTTCACCAATGTCCCCAGGGGAAAATCTCTATCATATCATATCATATTATCCCGCACAGTACATCTGACGTAAACAGGTCTGCGTAACCTAGCAACAAGTGTTGGATCGGGTGTATCAGAAGCAGCGGGAGTTTTTTGAGCCAACTCAGGGATGGTACATCAGAAAAACACATATTTCATTATGCTGCCCACATGCAGAGTCAGTAATAAACTCAAACCACAAGCCTTTGCTTAACCAACAGTAGAGTCAAAGTAACATATGGTGCATAATTTCTTCCTCTTGCCATTTTTTTGTGCCCCCAAATTTTTATATTTGGTGCACCTGTGCCCAAAAGTGAATGTTCTCAACCCTGCTTTTGCATATCTTGTCTTATACAATTTTTCTGTGCCCCAGAATTTTTATGTTAGGTGCACCTGTGCCCAAAACTGAGTTTTGAGCCCTGCTTTTGCATATCCTGTCTTGTGTTTCAGGAGCCTATTATATAGTAAGAGTGCATTAAAAGGGTCAATTGCAGTGGTCAACCTCTTAATAGACTGACACTATAGCTTAATATAATCTACTTGTAATGCATATTACATGGACTAAAGCATATTCAATATTTTCCTGTACTGTTCAAGAAACATCAGGGCCTGAATTTTTTTTCTATTTTCTGCAGGGACTGATTCACAATAACAAAAGAGCCCTCTTACAGCTAGCTCATTATATTTTTTCTTGCAATATCAATTTCTATTTCCTGCAAATAGCAGGGTGTATAAGTGGGTACATATTGTTAGCCCTGAATTCTACACTTACACTCACTGCCCGGTTTATCGTCTGTTGTTCCCCGTCTTCCGAGGGTTTCATAATAGCTTGATGAGTAACAATTATCAAGTAGCACGGACACTAATCTCGACTCGATGCCAGGAACATCAGGACTCCACAAAAGCAAGACATCATTACTAGACACTAATTAGTACATGTACTAACCAACCCACCTGTAGCTTGATACATTGTTCTTCCACAGCACTATAGTAGCTTGATGAGCAACAATATTAATACCGGTAACTCAAGGCAAGGGACATCAGGATAAAAAATAATCAAGTAAGCATTAGACACTGATTATTTGAATGAAAGCTCATCTGTGTTGGTAGAATCTGACAAAGGTTGACGAGAACAACTGAAAATTCATGGTGAGTTTCTTTCTTGTGTTGGAACAAAGCTTGAGCTCTATAACTAAAGACACTACCAGTAAATCAGTTAGAGGGATCCCAGGCCCTACTAGGGTTTGGGTTGGCGTTAGGAAGAGCATCCAGCTGTAAAAATCCTGCTTCAATAAAAAAATACTTGTACTTGGTGCAAGCACGTCTAACCCCCGGTTGGGGAAAAATGACGTTAAATTCCGTTAAAAAAACAAACCCACCTGTAGCTTGATGTTCTTCCACAGCAACAGCAGAAACTGCCTGCCGCGGAGACCCATCTTGGTGTGACGGCCGCTCGATCAGCTCAACTCCAGATCTACCCGAGCATGATGGGGTTCCGCTGTTACCAAGGAAACGGTGCTGTCACAGGTGTGATGTCACCACGGCGAGACGCGATTGGCCCAGATGGCAGCTGAGGAGGAAAACAATTTTCTTAGAAAAAGCCTCGTGCATGGAACCTAATATGTACATCTATGGCCCAGGTACTATGAATGAGTTATACCGGCTATACAGATACAGATCTTAATATGAATGGAAATCTACCTAATAATATGTATCACAATTGGCTTAGATGGCAGCTAAGGAGGAAAACACTTCTTAGAAAAAATGCCTCACGAACAGAACCTAATATGTACATCAGCTACATCTATGACCCAGGTACTATGAATGATTTATGTTGTAAACAAGCACTAAAATTCAGCCTTGTAGTCATCATGGCTGTCAGTCATGCTGTTGTTGATACACATAAACCAATAAACTATCTGTTGTGTTACGCTGAAGGCTGGTTATACCGGCTAATAGTATACAGATACAGAAGCTGGTGTGTTATGCCAAAGGGCGGTTATATCAGCTATACAGATACAGATACAAATCTTAATATGAATGGAAATCTAGGATCTAGGAGGAAAACACGTCTTACAAAAAGCCTCATGAATTGAAATCTAGTACCTAATATGTACATCTGGTATGTTACGCCGAAGGGCGATTGTACCAACTATACCAAATTGAATACAGAGTACAGCGATACAGATCTTATGAATGGATCTCTCAACCTAATATGAATATATTGTAAATCTGACGATGCTCTGATCTAAAAAAAATCAACCCTGCTGCCTAAGCCCATAACTAGTACAAAATTGGCAGCCATTAACGGCTACTATAGTGTGCTAAAGACGGAAATTGTCCTGAAGTCAGCGCAGAGGGAGAGGACTGACAGAATTTGATATGGTGGAATTAAAATGGTGGTCCTGAACACCTGTAACACTGTACAATCTACTGGTGAATTGTTATAAATAAACAAATAAAACTGATAAATTGTAGCCAGGTTCCAAGTAGGAAAGAGTTCTTGCTCCTGTATCTTAAAATGTAAAATGTAAAACTTTAAATTACAATGTCTGGAAACCAAAGAAACTGGTAGGACCTAATGTACCCGTACAGAACACCTCAGAGTGTGCTATCACTTAAGCACATCAAGGACTTCTGTGTATAATGTCCTTAAGCACATGTATCAGGTAAGGCATGGACAGGTTATTGAAAAAACAGGTACTGTCAACAATTCTAACAGTGTATGTCTCAGAGAATGTAAACTGACAAACGGATCAAGGAATAAGCATTGTTCAAAATAAACATGTTGGATATAATCATGTCTCAAACTGGAATACAGACATAATCTCCTGTCAAACACTTATTGATCAACCTTTGATGACCTACATGCAAATATGTACATGAGCTCTCATTAAACAAGGCCCAATTTGGCAAACAAGCAAATGCCTCCTTGACGATTGTTTGGTCACTGTCAGTATAGCAGTCACTTTGTCTTGGCAATTTCAGAAGGGAGAAGACCTAATAAGTTTATATCTTGCTACTGTTTAAACTGCTACTTATACTGACGTTAGTGTTTAACACTAACGTCAGTTTCTGAAATTCATGTAACATTACCTAACGCATGCAAGTACTGGTACGTGGTCACTAGGGAAGCAGCTACATACATGTACGTAGTACTAGTAGATTCATAAAAGCTTTCAAGGTAAAACAGGGGCACAAAATACACATTCAAATCTTCACTTAAATTCAACAACACGTACAGACCTTAGGCACACCTGACTGTTAACTTACTAGCAGAATGTAGAGGGAGAACATTTACCTGGTACTTTGCAGTTGTGACAGTCCTAACACACCTGTATGGTTACACAACTGCATGCACACAACAAGGTGAAATAAGAGACAAAATACAAAAATCTTCACCAAAAACACAATCATACAAACCTTCAATAAGCAACACCTGACTTGTAGTTAGGTTGTAGAGAGAATACTTCCTCCTACTTTGCAGTTGTGACAGTCCTAACACACCTGTAAGGTTACACAACTGCTTACACAATAGGCTGTGTCAGGTGGAGATGTCGCATGCATGACACCCGAGCTCACCTGCTTTATCATGCAAATGAGGAGACAACCTGCCCGTCAGGTTTCTGACCGTCAGGTTTCTGACCGTCAGGTTTCTGACCCCGTCTTTTCTTTCACCCTTCCCGAATAATCCATGCTGTAGGTTCCAGTTCTAATGGACTAAGTGTATTCCACATGTACAACAGTTTTATACACTAAGATCCAAAATCAAACAACGTTAACAATTGGGTAATGAAACAAAACAGCTGGTTTGAAGCTGAATTCTAGCTCATTGTCCTTTTCCTATTGGGTGTCAATTACCCTTTATTATGGCCCAACAAGCTAGTACTGTGCTCTAGCGGATGTTGACCCCTATTCCCTTTCTCTGGTATCTGTATCCGTATCTGTATAAATTATGCATAGCTGGTACAACAGCACTTAGGTATACGACATATTAAGCTTCGGTGAAGCCATTTTATTATGTTTTTGCTGATGCACATGTTGATAATTTTTTTTAGTCATCATCATCAGGGTATAAACCAAAAATAAAATCATAAAATAACTTATGCTACTTACATGTACAAAAGTGTGGGTAGGTCTATATATTACACATTTCATAAGTTATTGGTAGAATAGATGAATATTCAAATCTATTTAGTTTTTGACCAACCAAAACGTTTATCTATGAAATATTGACACTGACCACCCCACCCCTAAAAGAAACTTTAAGTTAGTAAAAGTTTCTTTAAATATGGTGAATGGCCTACCACATGCTATCATAATGCATAAGAGTGCTCAATAATTGAAAAATATACCTCCATTCACTGTGGTATACATTCCACATACATGAAATGAACATTTGAAAAATCCGTCCAGATGACGTCATGTTGAACAGAAGAGGCCTAAGCAACAGTGAGCATGATGAGAATATTTGAACTGTTGTGTGGCACAAAAGCTAAGAATGGTGAACAAAGTGGCATTGAATTATTGATGGACAAATATGGCTGACTCTAACCTTAGGTCTTAAGCTGATTCAATAAAAATATTGGGAAACTACGTAACGTTAGGTTCATTGGGGACAGGTAACACACTCCGGGCTTTTAATGATCGCGTAACAAATATATGAATTAACTGAATAATCAATTGTTTATTTAGTGACATAAATAAAAATAAAGATAGGTCAAAAACCTGATGGGAAAGGGTGGGTGGGTGAATGAGTGAGTGAGTGAGTGAGTGAGTGAGTGAGTGAGTGAGTGAGTGGTGAGTGAGTGAGTGAGTGAGTGAGAGTGAGTGAATGAGTAAGAGTGAGTGGGTGAGTGAGTGAGACTGAGTGAGTGTGTGTGAGTGAGTGAGTGAGACTGAGTGAGTGTGTGTGAGTGAGTGAGTGAATGAGTGAGTAAGAGTGAGTTTGTGAGTGAGTGAGTGAGTGAGTGAATGAGTGAGTGAGTGAGTGAGTAAGTGAGTGTGTGTGAGTGAGTGAGTGAGTGAGTGAGTGAGTAAGTGAGTGAGGAGTGAGTGAGTGAGTGATTGAGTGTGTGAAATAGGTGACACTGAATAGAACGAATATTACCTTAGACAGCACAGAGAATTTAAGAATCACAATAAAATCAAAGGATGTAACGTTAACGTTCATTTTCGACCATCGTCAGTGGCTAGCTCTTGCCACAGACCGACCTGCTTGGCGGCTTACTGTTCACGACTCAGTCTCTGCCTTCGAGAGGAGACGCAGAACTGCCCTCGAAGAGAAACGTAGAAAGAGGAAGAACCCCACCGTCACGGCTCCAACACCAGACCCGTCACTTACCTGCAGCCACTGTGGCCGAGTATGCCGGTCACGCATCGGACTTGTCAGCCACCAGCGGGCGTGCAGCAGGAGAGGCCAGCCCCTGACAAACTTCGGATACGAAGCCAAGCCAAGAGATATGACAAAACATGGCAAATATGTTGTCTTAGAATTAGTAAAATGTAACGAAAAGATGGGAAACACACCAAACGCAACGTTTACCTTTAAATCAAGATGGAAGATCCACCATCATGTATCTGTTGTCGCTAAGGTGCAGCAATAAACCACCCAACTGCATGTCGGGCTGACCAAAGTCGCCAGGAGGGGTCAGTGTCCTGTTCTGTTCGGGATAGTACATTTGTAAAAAGGGGAAGTACAACTGGAATTTCATTATTATTCGTCTTCAACAAATATAATTTAACCCAACATAAATACGATAGAAATAAAAAAAAAAGAAAGATTTTAAAAAGCATTATTCAATGATAATGTTATATATAAGTGCACTTATGATTTTATTTTAGCCATTATATGGCGTGACATCAACTGATGTGGAACTGTCTTGTCGTCTGCAACTTCGGGCCAGTCCACTTCGACCGAAGGGAATCCGATGGGTAAAATAATAATTTCATAAGGTTTAACGCGATTATAAATTCAACCATAATCGAAAAGAGAAACCAAGATAAAAGATATGCATCGTATGTTATGTCCTCAGCTTAGTGGAAAAGTAGTATTTTATTTGTGGAATATAAATGCATTTTAAAATTCCCGCCCAAAATTGAATATGGTTGTCCAAATGTTGTGGTGTCTATTGCAGCTTTCCAAAAGTGCTCAGCACTTTAGTGATGAAATTGCTTTATAAACAACTTCTTACTCATACTTTAAATCACAATGATACAATTTTGACATCATATAAACATTGTTTGACCTTACAAATGTATCAGACGGCTGATCTAACAGAACTGATCACAACTAAACACTCCGGCACTATCTACCTTAGGGCGGGCAGCTAAAATCACGTTTCTCGCCATTTTGAGGAATCAGGTCAGAAAAATTTGACCCGTAACTTTCTAGTTTGAAAGGCGATCAAACACCGCCCTATACCATCGACATTAGTACCCAATCATGCAACTTCTTGGTCTAGAAATGACAGTTTTTCAGAGTCGCATTCTGATGTTCTTGCCGACTTTGTTGTTCGCCAAGCCGACGGTGTGGGAGGGGCAAACAGCAAGTATGTCACCAAGAGCTACTGAACTCGAAACGGTAGGTAGAAGAGTTTGACATACGGGGATTTCATTAAGTACAAATACTGACATCATTTCGATCTTAGTTCTAGAAATAAATACAGGCACCTTATTTTTTTCATGGACACCTGCAAGTCTTTTATGGCAGGCATGAAAAAGTTTGTTTTTTTCAAGAAAGTTTTCATGCTGTGAAGTTCAAATTGAAACATAAACTTGATAAAGAGGATACGTTTGTTTTATTCCACTCTCGCCTAACTTTCTCAACCCTTCATTGTATTTTTCATGACCCTCAGCCTATTTGAGTCATTCATTCATTCATTTATTCATTCACTGTTTCATTCATTTATTCGCCCATTCACTTATTCAGTCATTCATTCATTGTGAAAAAGAGAAATCGGTAAAAAAGGACAACCAGGGCTTGTAAAGAACAAGTTTAATCATCTTTATTTCACGTACAGAATACCAGTTGGGAAACAGACCTACTTACTGAAGATATCCACATATACGACGAACACAAATGAACTAATGTAACGATGGGTCCAGCCCAGCAAAAGCACAGCTATCATACCTACAACACACATAAGCTTCTCCTAGTCTTACTCATACCGTATAACGATCTATGCTTCTAGCAAAATCATTTAAATACACAGACATACTTGGGAGATCATACGTTTAACCGACATTTTGAAAACTCTAGTTTGAATCAAAATAATATATTTAAGTAATACATCAAATACACGGTTCACACTCACAGAGGCAGGGTACTGGCCTGTTCACGGATTCAGGCTGCTTTACCTATTTTAGAAAACGTCCCTTACATTAGGTCACTTAGCTCTTACCTAATAACATAAGATTTCATCACAAAGGGATACAGAACATCGAAAATGACGGGACAATTTCACTGCAACCCGTTCAGGGGCTTAAATGTACAGCTATGGACAGTCTCTACAGTCAGCTAGTAGCGTGCCGAGCAGCGCACTGCAAAACATGCGTTACAAAAATACTCTGCTTTCAATAGAAAGTGAGGAAAGTACAGCGTCGTCCTACTTAAGTCTAAATAACTTACTAAAAATAGGGGAAATTTAACGACAAAAGTCCGCTTGCCCCATCAAGTCGCAGCTATGCAGAATCAAAAGAAACAAAGAAATTGAAATCGAAAAGAAAACGCATAAATTAGAAAAAAAATTGACTCTCTTACTGGTCGAATTGCTCCTGTAGTTCCAACCTATCACGAAGTTTACCAGTCAGTTTGGATAAAAACTTCCTATGTTAAGTCGAAAGTTAATCGTTTGTCCTAAATACAGTTGTAATTGGTCACTTTCTGCCGTGTATTGTCAGGTCCTATAGGAGTCTAGAGGAGGGCTTGTCTGACTGTGCTGCTACCTATGTGTTGGTCACACCGAGACAATTATTCAGCAAACAGAGATGTACTCACACCCAAGTTAAAATGTACACTATTTACAGGTGAGTTGTGTATAACCCTATCTAGCCCTTCCATGTGTCCGCACACATTGTGTGTGATTTGTCTACAGTCACATTACACGTTGCTATCGTCACGCCTTACTCGCGTTTACTCTCCAAGCAGAGGTTTAGGCTTCGAATTATGTTGACGTGTTTTTAGGCATTTTTATCGAACTTTCTTTTTGTAGTAGGCATTTCTCGGTCTCGTAAGAGACTGTCGATGGCTTTGCTCTTTTTGTACTAGTATCTTTTTATCTGTACTCATCAAACCAAATGGTAACTGTTTGGCAAACGGGTACTGTCGGTCATTTTGATACTAAGTCTTTGCAGGTACCGAAAGATCTGCTTGGAGATTAGTCACATTTGTACATCTACTACTGGCCCGAATGATTTGTATGGAGAACTAACTAACTGTTGAAGAATGACAGTTACGACGTGAAGAATTATTGAGGACTACTACAGGTGGTCATCATCAGTGCGTGTTTTGTATCGTCCGAGAAAGCCACAGTGATAATAGAACGCACAACGACGTCAGGCCTGCCCGCCAAGACGCGCGCGACGCGCCGCTGCCTCCCGTCAGCCCGTTCACCCTTTGGTCCTCGGCTCCGTCCGCGGGCTGGTCGGTGCTGTCCGTGCCCGGTGCCTGTCCGTCCTGGGAACCCACCCAGTCAGGCTCATGCTGTATGGGGCAGCCCAGCCACCACTCTGCCGTGCTGCGGGGGTACTGCGGGTCGGACTCAGCAACCTGAGGGGGAAGACAGATGATCAGCATCTTTACATCCTTCCAATCTTTCAGCGAGATTAGGCCACTCAGTGAACAAGATGGACTGATAGCCATCGAAAATTTGGAGGTTAGTATTCTTATCCTTCCAAGTTGTCACTGATGAACGAATTCACTAGTAACTGTATCAATACGTGACAAATGAATCTCTTCAACGATATTCAGCGTATTCGTTGTTACCCTCTATGTACAACTTTAAAACGCTATAACTCACTCAGACTTATATAGGAGATACCAAGCGCTTCTAGCTCTGCTTGACTGTGTTTAAAAGTCAATTAGATATAGAAGTCCAAATATTACATGTGTAAATGGGTCTAAATTCTCCTTCTAGCTCTGATTGGCGGATGTGTTTCAGCCAATGAGATATAGGAGGTTAACACGTAATCTTATTTTTCAAATAACTTTAACTTAGCATTAGCGTTTTTAATGTGGTGGGACTACGGCGCACAGATATGTCAACTTTGTGTATCTAAATGATAACTGTACTTGTTTGTTGTGTTTGCTGTTATATAAGTTATAAACTTGAATGCAGCGTCACATTGTCCTTGTTATGTTTTGATGATTAAACGTATTCGTGGGAAAAACGGTGAGTATTAGATACATGGCGTTTACGGCAATCAGTAAAGGTGGCAAATGACAGACCCAGATGGAAGAAAAAAGTTATAATATATATGGCATTATGTCTAACAAAAAAATTCAGAGTATGAGTACGTAAGTAAAGTAGTACATGTATGTAAGTGCCATGTTTAACACATCACAAAAAGATCACACATGACATGCAGTGCACATCAATTGCAAGGTGAACTAGAATACCAGCAATATGGGACTCCTTGGACCAAAAAAGAAGGAAGCCCAAATTTCACTACAGGAACGGATAAAAAAGGTGGCCCCATAAGCCACACATACACATATACCGACAAGGTACAGTGGGTCTGTAACGTAACGTTAAATTAATTAATAAATACCCTCAAATTGTCGTCGTCGAATCTCCAGTAGCGGCCACCCTGGAAGAAGTAGGTTTTGCCGTTTTTCCACTGGAAGGCGGCGTCTATCCTGTCGGGGAGTCCTGTCCACACGGACAGCGGCTGCGGGTACCCGTCGTCCACTCCCCAGCCTTTGGAGTACCGCCAGTACTGGTTACCTAGGAAACGGGTAAACCAGTCGTTAAGGTTTCTGCAAGTCTACAAACTCTTCTTCCTTATACATGTATTCCTTTGTTACTGGTCCACTATGTAACTCCTGTACTACAAAGCTAATCTCTCTAAGTTGACGCATGGCTTTGGTATGTTTGCATGCCCTTTTGGAGTGACGTCTGCCTAATGCCGACGTTACAACAAAGTCTTGAAGTGAACACCGGGGCACTCTTATTGAGTCCTACAGGGCCGTTTGGCCCATGGTGGTAGTAGTACAGTAAAAATCACTTCGGATGGAGAGTGGTTACAATCCACTCTACAGAGGCACAAAGCTAAGCTCCAACTTGACGCATGACTTTGGTATCTTTTGCCTATTTTTGGCGTGTTTGGTACGTCTGCCTATGCATGTTATATGCAAGTCTTGAAATAAAGGCAGGGGCACTCCTATTGAGTCCTACAGGGCCTTTTGGCCCATAGCGGTAGTAGTAGGCATCCTTCCATCTCCAGAGATGATGGTAGCACTGTATGGCTGATATTGTAGCTGTGTGCAGCGTCTGGTGGTAGTACAACATCTATGTTCCCTTCGGTCGTGGGTTTGACGTACCTTTGATGAAGTAGGTTTTCCCGTTTCGACCCCACTCGAAGGCGGCGTCCACGTTGGTCGGCACCCCGCGGAACCTCTCCATACTGGCGGGGTAGCCTTCATCCAGCACCGCGTTGGTGAACCGCCAGTACCTTTCGCCCTGAAACAAGGAAACAATACATCGCACAGTGAGAGCTGACATAGATTTAAAAAAAAAAACATCACACGGGTTCAATCATTTTCCCGAAAGTAGAACGTCATTGAGAAGTCAAAAGTAGCAATAGAATTAGCCTAAGGATAGTTGTAATCGGTCTTAATTCATTTATATGATTCAATTTTTCTTCTTTGTTAAGTATACACACGTCGTTGTATACCAATGTCTTGCGTTGTGTTATTTGCGTTTAGCCTTCGGGCATGGTTTTGCAAGGCGTTTTGCTCGTACCTCCCAAGTTACATATGCAGTATCATACCCTCTAGCTAGATTCTGGCTAAACCTGTTGTGAAGCGTGAACTTGTCAACATTTAATTGGCTGACTACCTGAATGATCTAGCATGTCGAACAGTACCTTGATGAGATATGTTTTGCCGGTACTTGGCCAGAAGAGCGCGGCGTCGATAGGTCCGACGACGCCCCAGATGTCGTGTATTCTCATGGGGTAGCCGGGATCAGGGCCGATGTCGTTCAGTCTCCAGAAGAACTCTCCTAGATGGGGAAAGGGGTGGGTGTGAGCATGAGGCGTAACTCAATACTAGTACCTGTTAGCGCTGTGTTAATAGGTGGTCAAGGGACTAGGTAGGTAGGTGTGAAGAGTGTTTTTGCTATGTGGACTATAGTTTCTCGTGGTTCTTTCTTGTAGTATCCATTCATCTTCTTAAGGTTTATGTACAGGAACATGAAGTTGATCCCTGATGGCCAAGTTCTACCAAGCTTGGCCATCAGTTCAAACAGAAAACTACTCATGATGTCTCAGGTTATCATGCAGAGCAAGAGGACGAATCAAAGATACTCGGCAGCTAAAAAAGGTTTGGACACCGGGCTTTTTATCATATACAGGCATCTAGAACTAAAACACCGCCTCCTGCGATTTCACAACCTAGGTAACAAGGCATTACAGTCTATAGTACAACGGTTTGGTAGCCTGGTTATCAAACATATTATAGCTCCCGAGTAGAGGATGTAGGACTCGGGAGCTATAATAGGTTTGGTAACCAGGCTAACGGCTCTCTGGACAGACCTGCGAAGGCGTATGTGGATCCGTTCTTGGTGCGTGTGATGGCGTCCAGGTGCCCGGAGCAGGTGGTGGGGTCCACCGTGCCTCTGGCGTCGTAGTCGGGCACGTCCACGTCGTTGGACGGGGGCCGGGGCCGCGGGTGGGGGCTGGGCCGGTCGATGTCAGCCACTCCTAGAGTGGGGGAGGACATGTGCATAGTTGAGGCTATGCCAGTACCAACCGACTACAAGGATCTACAACAGCCTTTACCGCTACAAGACTTATTCAAGACTGCCCTCAACCTGTTGTAATGTATTAGATCTGACCTGGCCATTACCAATATCTATAACGTACCATATGATAATGTTCTTTATCAAACATGGGTGCGGGCATGGTGGCCTTGAAAGGGTGGGCATGGTGGCCTTGAAAAGGTGCACTTAGGTGCACCTATTCCACCATAAATAAATAAATAAATAAAACAACGGGTGGGTTTTCACATCTGACGTTTCGGTGACCGTCTGTTACCAACAATGACTGGTTCTGATTCGTAGGTGTCGCTGCTGCAATAATACAAATGCGGCACCAAACGTAGAGTTTTTGCACATAATACATTAGAACAGTGATGTTAAACCAGTATGTAACGTACGTCCTGTAACGTACAGTCTGTAACGTACCGTATAGGTTCTGTATGCCCTCCACGTCGTCCGGCGGCAGTGTGAAGGCGGGGGTGTACCCCTGGTAGAACGGCGCCATGAGCGAGCCCCGCACGTCGGAGTGCCCCAGGCCCAGGCTGTGCCCGAACTCGTGCGCGGCGACGATGAACAGGTCCGTACCTGTAGGGGGAGATCAAGGAATTAATGGCTGCAGAAAACAGTGAAACGTTATCTTGCCATGAGAATCTAGCCTGGAGTCCAGCTTTGGTCCGAGATCCGCTACCGGTACCCCGCGGACCAAAGCTAACATGGCTAGACTCCAGGCTAATAAGAACCTCTGCACGTATAGTTCACTGTTTCTATCTTTTGAAGCAGCCAAATAACATGTTTCTAAAGGAGTCATACTTTTGTGAATAATCGCATAAGGTTAGTGAATGATTAAATAGCCAGGTTATTTATTCACAACGACTTGTTTCACAAGATTCAGCGTTTCGATGACCGTCTGTCATCTTCATCAGGGCAATTATGACTGGTGCACTAAAGCTAGATGTTAATGGTTCACTGTGCTCTGAAGCTACTTGTTGAGGTTGTGAAAAAAGAACTTTGCTATTCGATATGAATTGTAGTTCTAACTTGAGCCATGTTCATACTGCCAAACCAAACTTTTCCTGCTAGAAATACTGTTGCCCCATACTGCTTTAGTTTGTGAGAGGATGGACTGGGTAGGGAGAAAGAGACGGGCAAAACAAAGAAAACGTCAAAGGGAAGAGAAAAAGAAACGAAAGGGGAGAAAAAAGGTGTTATTCTCGAAAATGGGATTGAACAAGAAAAAGGGAAGAACACAGAAAGAACTGCACCGATATCACATAATAGAGCTGTCCTGTCCCCTGTGGATGGCCCTAGACTACGCTAGTATGTGCTATCGGTCGGTTAATTTCTGTGAGATCGTTACAGAAAGGGAGCAAAGGGAAAGTGGAGGAAAATAAAAGAACAGAAAGCGGGAGCAAAAGGGAAAATTGAGGAAAATAATAAAAGCGAACAGAAAGCGGAATAAAGAAAGGCTTTACATGTGGAGTTTATGCACAAAGGATCACCTCCGGGCGTGCGGACCGTCCAGGTCTCCCCGTCGTCGAAGTGCGCGTCGCCGCCGTACTGCGGGAAGAAGGCGTGGGCCAGCTCCCCGCCGGCGCCGTCAAACGGGTTGCCGTCCCCGTGCTCGCCCACGGAGAACTTCACGTCCAGGTCCGGCCGCCCCCAGTAGATCCGGGTAAACGTTAGAGGCGTGTGCTTGGCCCACACCTGCAATTGCAAAGTCATGAACGATCATTTAAAGTGCTAATAGTAAGTGTAACGCGATGTAGACATTGACAGTAAACTTGTGCTCCCCCACCTACAACTTCACGTCCAGGTCCGGTCGCCCCTAGTAGATACGGGTAAACGTTAGAGGCGTGTGCTTGGCCCACACCTGCAATTGCAAAGTCATGAACGATCATTCAGAGTACTAGTAAGTGGTAAGTGTTAAGCGATGTTGGTATTGAAAGGAAATTTGTCAAACGGATTCCCGTCCCCGTGCTCCCCCACAGAGAACTTCACGTCCAGGTCCGGTCGCCCCCAGTAGATCCGGGTAAACGTTAGAGGCGTGTGCTTGGCCCACACCTGCAATTGCAAAGTCATGAACGATTGCTCAAATTACTGGTAAGTGTAAAGGCCACATTGCCAGTTATGGCAATGGCTAGTGTTGTTAGATAGGTCTGTAAAATACTGTCAAAGACTGTCAATCTGTGTTTTACCATTGAAGGGGACGCATTGACTGTAGCATTTCGCCTGAGTCACAATTTTGTGACAAACGTGACATTCAGACATCCCTACATAGATAAACAAAAGTATCCTCCGGACAGTAGATAGGACGTGGCACCATTCCAAGTCCCCGCTACCTCCCTCCGCGTTAACGGTTTTATCTACGGAGACACTTCCTTCCCGGGTACAAACAGTCCATACAGACACCGAAAATGTCACCAGGACCGAAAGGTCCCTTTAAGTACGCGTAAGAACTGGTGCCAGGCACCGCACTAACCACAATCTCCAAGCAGATCCTAGGGTGGCAAAAGACAGTATCAAATTGGGCAGAGAGGGCCTAGGGTCTAATACGCCACACAAGGATGGCCAAGCCTGGCCAATTTGATACTGTCGTTTGCCACCATAGAATCTGCTTGGAGATCCTATACAGCAAAGGTTTCCGTCAGAACTGGTGCCAGGCACCGCACTAACCACTTCACGAGCATGTCCTGTAACTACAACTCAATTATCAGACACTGGCTAGACGGAAGTAAGATGCTGAAGGGTAGGGAAGGGAAGCGACTGCACGATAAATCTGTTCCCTCTATTGTCTGCAACGCATGTGATCTCATCTCAGCAGAATCACCCAGGCGCGGCCAATACGTCCGGATACTTAAATGTGTCACAAATATTTCTTTCCTCAATAAATTTCGCCTTTTTTTGCGAGACGCCCCGCCCCCAAAGAAAAGGACAAGTCTCTATTCCATACCTGAAATGCTTTTTCCACGGCCGATTCCACTTCGAAGGCGGGTAGGTCCTGAGTGTAGGCGGATATCCTGTAGGTGAGGTCGTGCTTGCGCCATCTGCTTCCCTGGATCGGAACGGAACATTTCAAACGGATTAGAAACATTGCAGGTTAGCAAGGAGGTACAATCTTATTGCACCTCCTTGGTGTTAGCTACTTGGAGGTGCTTTAGTTGGGAGACCATGTCTGTTAGTTTGGTACATCACGATCGAAAGAGAATCGGGACGACGTACATGTATGTATGATGCAGTGAGACACCACAGCCAGGGGAAAAGACAAAAACCGGCAAACACATATCCTACCCCTGCGTCTCTTCTTTCGATTGTTTAATTCAGGTCCGTTGGCATTCATCACCATGAAAGTCAGTATACCTAGCACACTTGGCTACCTTTGCACCAGTGCGCGATTCAAGAAGTGTAAACAAGCGGTGTCGGAAATGTAAGGCAGTCATTTCCACAAGGGTGACAATTCTACAGCAACTAGGTTGAGGCTAAAGGTGAGAGGTCGATCAGGATGGTTGTATTAACCTGGTACGAAACATAGTCATAGGGTTGCATGATGTCCTCTCCCGGCCAGAGGGACAGACGGGAGTCCTGAACACACAAGCAACAGACAGTACGTTAGATGGAAAAGTTGACTTAGAAACTTCAACAAAGAGACAAGAATAGTCCAGAAAGAAGTAAAGGAATTGCATGTTAGTGTGACGAACGGTTTGGAGGCGGAGGTTAGGAGAGTAAGTCTTCTAAGTACAAGAGTTAAGAAAACGACAGGGCAGGTATGGAGAATGTGCACGGTGTACGTAGGATAGATAAGGTAGTAGTCTACCTCCTTGTAAGTAGCCGGTAGCACATGGCATGTAGCAGCAGAGGAGAACAAGAAAAAGAGACTTGGTTAGTACTTCCATGCAGCTGTTTCCACTGGCTTCTATGGTGAAACACTGTGCCAACTCATTGCTACGAGTGAAAAATAATTTTGGTGTGGATATATAGGGTATAGTATTGCCACAAGTTGGCACATGTCCTTCTTAAAGCTTCTTGTGGCCTGATTTCAACTTGCTTTCCGCCAATTTCACTGAGGTGCTAACCACCACTTTCGATATTTCAAAGCTGATGTTTTGAAAGCGGAAAGCACGTATGTGACACGTGGTAGCACGTAGGGAGGCTGAACTACTCGTACTGGACCACATCCCTGCCGCCAGCCAGCCACACGACACGAGCTAGCTGCATGGTGACACCATAGTCTCCACCAGACTCCTATGCAGGCTGAATAAATAGTAAAAATTGGCATAAAAGAGGATTTAATTGGCCAGAGGTGTTGGCCGGCCAGAGAGGGTCAATTTGCCTGCTCTCTGGCCGGCCAACTCATCTGGTCAATTCAATCTTTTTTAGTCCGATTTTTACTATTCATTCAGCCTGCAAAGGAGTCTGGTGGAGACTACTGACAACACACCCCCGGCGGCGCCGCCGCGGCTGGCAGCAGCGCGACAGGTTAGAGCCCTGCCTCCCCCATTGTTGTGGCTTGTACACGACTGAGGGCAGATCTGAACATCACTGCCACATGCTTGGCACGGTTCGACCCTCCTCAGGCCTGTTTCTCGCGAGCTAACCAAGAGAACGGACAAATATTAGCTGCCCCGGGCGAACTTTCGGGTGTGGTTTTACAAGTAGTTTTAAACATTGGCCCTCTTTCTAGGAAGTCTCAGAATGTTTACGTGAATCCTTCAGGTAATCAAAATCCAAATCTGCACGTCAGAAACTAAAATACTGTTATTTTGTACACATTCTTGCAGTAAACTGAAGCTGCATTTGAGGTCTACTCTTCAACCTTGTTGACAGCAGCATTATTGTATTTTTATAGCAACTTTAAACACAGAACAGATATCTTTACTTGAACCATCACCGTCTTCATGGTGGGGGAAAATTCAATAAACTAGCTGTCGGAGCTGTCTGGGCGTCCATACAAGCCATCTGGCCCCGGATCGCACTTGACACATGGGCTTGTGCCAAGTTCCGAACAAAGTTTGGACTAAGTTGAAGCCAATTTTAAACAAATTCGAACTTGACCTGTGAGCCTGCTACCGGCGAGGGCCACGCGAACACATGAACATGCTAACCATCACTAGGTACACTTCTTTACAGATTCAAGCTCCTACGATATTTGTGTTCAATTTCTTTCGCTTTCTGTGATTCCTAGACCTAGGATTGGCACTTTTGGAACACTGATGAGCAGGTATAGCATTTTTGCAGAAATCTCTTTTTATAGCTACGACGTACGTGGTCACCTATCATGTAAGTTCATCTGTACACAAAGATAAAATTTTCAGCGGCCACTGTCGCCTTCATCAGTATCATTAAGGTGTGCATATGGTCACGTGTCTGTAACTCGAGAGTTTACATTCGGAAGTGATTGGTCAATAACTATCCTGAGGAAGGCAGCAGTGGCCGTTGAAAAATGTGATCTTCCCGTTGTGTTGGAATGAAGTTCAACATTTTACTAACATGGTCACTTGTTGCTGATTCTTCTACCCATCAGTTGTCAGGAGCCTTCATTGATGCATGTACGGATTTGCCTCATACACAATAAGACTATAACAGATTCTACATGCGTTATCATGTGGCACACGTGTCAATGTTAGAAAGCTGGAGATGTACCTGTATAGCGTATCTCCTTTTCCTGGCGCTGTTGGCCGTCCCCACGATGTCCGGCACGCCGCACCGCTCCTTCGTCATCATCTCCAGCGTCGCCTCGTCAAGCTCGCCTACGGCAACACAGGGAGGGGTAATCAGGGTTAAACAACTCGTTGCCACCAAGCCCTGTTGAGGCATCATCAGCAGAAAGCTTTAAACAAGTCCTACAGTTACAGGTCGTTCGGTGTAATATAGCTAGCTGCCGCCTCGCCGCGTGCCTGCGAAGCTGGTGTGTTACGCCGAAGGGCGGTTATACCGGCTATACACATACAGGCACCGGTTGACTTTACTCTGCAATCCACAAGTAATGAGACTCTGTACTGATGCTTAGATCTAGATCTTTCTCTAGGTCTAAACAAAAGACGCGGCAATCTGGAAGAGGCCGATCCGAATTGAAGCTACTCACCGTGATCTAAGAAAGTAATTAATGGTGTCAGCACAAATGATTACGGAATAGCAATCAATAAATAATGAAAAATAGAGAAATCAATTAACAAATCAATCAATAATCTTAAACTTAAGACATTTAATGAAAGGGAACAGGTGTTCCTCAATTTTCATGTTCTGATCAGATACAGGCACATCTCACACTTCGGCCATTACGTCTATCAACACGTGTAAACCGCGGCACTGTAAATACTGCGCGCCAATGTAGATGTGTTTGTTGATATCAAAGAGTGTTTTTGTTAGAGTGCAGATGATCTCTACATAACCCTTTATCTCTAAAAGCGTTTATTGGAAGTCTTCCCACTTTCCCGCGTTTGTTTTCATACCTTGGAAGAGAGTTAGAGGAGACAAACCTGTGATGGTCCTAGCCTGGTTACCAAACCTATTATAGCTCCCGAGTCTTACAGGAATTGCGGAGAGGCTGTAGGACTCGGGAGCTATAATAGGTTTGGTAACCAGGCTATAATGGTCCATGATCATTTCAATCATGATCGACAAAATCTTGGCCACCACATCATTCTGCAGCCAATACAGTGGTATTGTCTATGCTGTTACGGAAGGATGGGGACGGATATAGGAGTTTTCTTTTACACAACCAAACTTGTCTCACCTTGCTAACGTTTCGGTGTCTATCAGACACCTTCCTCATAGCTTCTGATAGACTCCGAAACGTAAGTAAAGTGAGACAAGTTTTGATTGTGTAAACGAAAACTCCTATATCCTAATTTTACCGACCTGTGGAAACTATGTTCGGGAAGGATGGGGACATAACGTAAATGGAAGAGACTTTCACCAGATGGTATGAGCGAACGCTGCTGACCTCCCCCGCCTCTCGCTACACCTCTGTCTTCGTGTTGCCGCCCTCTAGACTAATCAAACCGCTCTCGGCACGCGGGCCGGGCCGTGCAGACGTGAGAGAGACATGATAGGTGTGGCAGCTACATCTCTACGTCTCACGTAATCTCAAAGCAGATCATACCGTGGCAAGGCAGTGTCCAGTGGCCAATGGATACTGCCTGACCAATGGATACTGTGTAGCTAATGGATGCTGTCTTTGTGACCACCAAAAGATCTCGGCTGTTTGTTATCAGACAACGTACACGGGTATTGTGTTTAGGGATTTGGATAAAGGTACGGTGTTGGTCTAAGTAGCATGGCCCACATTGTTCTATTAAGGCCATTGCTTCCGGATCCTGAAGCTTGGAGATTACATCTCATGTGCTTTAGGAAGCAATGACCTTAATAGAACAATGTGCATCCTTTCCTTTACATTAGCTAGGGAACCGTCCTTATACAGCATTGACACTATTCCACAACCATTGATCCATCAGAGCTCTTACTCTCCAAGCAGAAGTGGAAGAAAACAACCGCCTTCACAAAAGTTGACAATCTTTACTCTCCAGGGAGAGGTTGATGGTGAGAAGATCCTCCAAATTTTCCTAATCAACCTCTTCTCGGAGACAAGGTAACGATCCCTCCTTCCTCCTCTGTTTGGAGAGTAAAACCAGTGGCAACACTGGACCATAGACCATAGCTACCAACTTCGTGAGTGTGCAAAAGAATGTGTGCCATGCTGCTTAGACCAACACCGTAGCTTTATCCAAATCCCCAAACACAATACCAGTGTACGTTGTCTGATAACAAACAGCCAAGTCGGTCATCGGGAGCGGAAGACTCCAAGGTCGTCCTGAATGACCATAAACTACTTCAGGGGAAGTGTTCTGTGTAAAGTCTGTGTGTTACGCTTAAGAGGGGTTATAATGGCTACAGAGACACAGATACGGGAGCTGGTGTAAATATATATGATACGCCAAAACAGTTACTCAAGCAATTGGATATGATTTTGGAAACGGTCAGGCGTTTCAGGTAGCATCCACTCCCTTTCGTCAGTGACACTAAGAGATTGCATGAGAAATGTAGGTTTACAAGCACGATATGCAAACAAGTAAAGACATAAATTTTGTACCATAGGCAATTGTCGTGCAAAAGAGTTCTTCGTCTGCCCCCTTAGGACATGCCAGGTATGATACTAGATAAGGGCCTGAGGAGACTAGACATATTCATTAGATTTATTAGGTAAAATTGTAGAACAAACTGCTGATGTTTGAATCTCACGCGTTCAACCAGATTTCAAGATATATCATAAAGGTAGCACAAGATTTTGAAGGAATCTTGGTTTTACTCCTTATCATAGTGTCTCGTTAAGACATACACGGCCCCTGTCCCCGCTGTCCTGGCACGGTTCCAGCGCTTAAAGCGGCCACCCAGCAAAATGTCAACTTGCGGTGTTAGCCCTGCGCCGTCAGTACACTGTGATGTAGTTTATCATAGTAGAGCCGGGCTCTCCAGACATCGGGGTCCTCTGGTCTCCTCTGGTCCGGGACGCCGCTACTAGCCTGGTATCCAGTCTTACGTGATTGGGGGTGTTGGGGTGTTCAGGCAGGTTGTGTCTTCGGGGGCTCTAAGAGCTTCCCCCGCCCAGTGCAACAGACCGTCCCGGTAGGAGTGTCACGCTAATCAGAGACAGTATGCTTGGGGATTTGGTTTCCCCCCAACACGATATGTTCGTGGAGGGCTAATTAATCTCTCGTGAAATACACACCGGGAAACCTATGTGAGGCGGGCGGGCCAGAGCTCTTACGGCCCCGACCACGATCAGACCACGATACCAGGCTACGCCGCTACGCAAAATTAGCCTGAACTTCAAACCCCCCGTGACGTCACGGCCAGGCCAACCCGTCGTTAATTAAAAAAGCCGTGTTGGATTGATTATATTGATGACATCCTCTGGGAACCCCCAAACTTATGCGAGCGTGCGAATTAAAAACCTTTGGCAAAAAAAAAATTACATTCGTTAGGCCATGGCAAGTATTTTTTTTATGGATGACATCAACGCGCGCATGATTTTTGCGAAAATGGGCAAAGATGCCTGTTGCAATGCCGGAACGTGGATGATAGATAACTATGAAGAGGGGAGAGAAGGCCCTGATTTGTTGTTTTGTCTCTTACTTTTTTACAGTGGTGTATTTCATTCCTTTATATGTGATGTTGCCGCTAAATGAAATAATCTTGTTTAACAAGGTTTATGATTGTAAAATATCAAAAGTTATTGTTTTGCTCGCCTTGTTTTTTTCGCCCTATCGCATTAGATTTGGAGTCTGCGGAAAATGTCATCCATGAAATTGACTTGCTGCGGCCTTAAGAGTGATCACACACACACAGACCCTGTGCGTCAGACAGGACAGGTATTCCGTCCCATTATTACATACGCGCCATTCCGGCACCGTTATTTTCGGCCATCCGTGGCCGGCCATTTGCGACGGGTTCTCCAAACAGGGCCGCCCCCTCCCCGCCCCCCTGCCGCCCGGCAGATGTGATGGCCGGCTCCCGACACCAGCCTTTGATCCCCCGAGCCTGAAAGGTCGGGCCGCCTTGAGACCACCTTGATATTCGCGCCGCGGTGCGAGCAAACCTCGGCTGCCCGCGCGGCCTGGCCTCAGAGGAAAGGCCGGGTCTTTATTGGGGAGGGCGGGTTAAGGAGACGATAGTCTTCCCCCATCACAGGACAGCGGCCTGCTAATAAATCACTACCGGCCCTCCATTCAAAGCATGGGACCGACCTTGGTGCTAAACCAGTATTTACTGGAGCAAACCGTGCGGCAATTACTCAAGCGGGTTCAGCGGTGTTTGGATAAGACGGACTAGGAGGGACAGACGGAGATGTAGGGCAGAAGGACAGGGGTGCCGAGGGGTACTCTCCAAGCAGAGGTTTGGGTTTTGGCTTATTTTGGCGTGTTTTAAGCTCTTTTATCGGTTTTTGTTTTTTTTGCACTGGGTTGTTTTATTACTCCTACCAGTGAAAAAAAGAAACCCCGAAAATAAGCCTAAGCACACGCCAAAAATAAGCCAAAACCCAAACCTCTGCTTGGAGAGTACCGAAGGGAAGGAGTCGGTATGTTCCAGCGATGATCGGGTCATTTGTACAGCTCACACGTCCTGTTGGAACCGTCCGTAACCCCTGGTATTTAACGACTTTTGACAAGGGCACACGAAAGGACAATTATGTAGTATGGTCACTGAGACTAGGCAAGGAAAAGATATCACGAGTTCTGCTCTGGAGGGGGCAAAGACAACACAGCTCAAGCTATACAGGAAAAGCTGTCGTGTCTGTCTGTCCAAAGACGTGCAATCTCATGCCAATGAGCACTATAACCGGTTTTAGTGTATATTGTCCAGTACCAGGGCCAGACCATTAAAATAGCGTCTAGATAGTTGGGCAGTCTTGGCTGCAGTCATTTTATACAGCCTAATAAATCAAATAAAAAAATCAATCAATCAAATTCATAACCAGTCTAGGGGAAATAATCTAAAACGTCTTCGTCTCCAGTCCCTGTGCATGGGTTAAAGGTATCTCCTTACTAAAGTAATCAAGAAGTCTCTTGTGGATTTAAGTACATTGTACTAATAATCTTCGTCGCGTAATGGTCACTCCTTTGGCCAATGGTGACAGCCTTGCCACCGTAGGATCTGCTTGGAGATTATATTATGGTGCAGCGGCCCACAGGCTTGTTTGTTTACATCGCCGCTGGATGTCTTCATCGATCTCTAACTGTGCGTGACGGTC